GACAGGGATTGGAAGGTGTCTGCTGCAGCCTGCTCGGCATGTATGTTGTCTTCATGGGGAAGGCATGGCTTAAACCAACCCTTCAGAAATTCATTTAACTTTAACCTTACAAAAGGAGCGTCTGATGTGGTGAGGGGTTGAAAGGCTTTTATATAGTTTCGTCAGTCAGAAATTGCAGTCTGGTTTTCTCTTTCTTCTGTTGTGATTCACCAAGTCCTTCCGGTATTTAAAAAAAAAAAAAAAGGCAAACCATTTTTCATATAACATGAGATTGAATAGGCTATGAATGTGCTCTGTGGCTCAGAGAAGGCAAGTGTCCTGTCATATGCTTCAGTAGAGAGCAGTTTGTGACCCATGTCATCAATTAGCAATGAAATAGTTCTCATCTTGGGCTAGCAGCGAGATTTTCTTTTAAATATTTTAGTTTCTTGGTTCCAGCTGTCCAGTTGGTCTTCATGTTTCCTGAACTTGCTTCAGTGCGTATCGAGCAATGCCTTAGCTAAAATTGTGGTTGTAACATACAGTGTGAGAATGGTGTTGCTTCAAGTCGTTTATTCAAAAATATATGTGTCTCAACATTGAAATATTTTCCCATTAAATTCATTTGCTTTTGGAATCAAAAGCAGTCCTACATTATCTTGTCATGCATACATTATTAATTGCAATTCATTTTTAATTTAATGAAAAATTATGCTAAGAGCAAGGGAGGAAGCTGTCTTGCAGCATCCTTGCTCTTTCTTTGCCTAGGTAACCTCAAGCAATCAAAGAGGTTAAATTTAAAATCCGCTCCTGCTCGGCATTTTTGTCTTTTAAAATGGAACGGTGTTTAAACTCAGGGAAACGATCAAAGGAGGAATGAATGCATTGGCAGAGGTGACAAATAGTATTCAAGTTGGATAATCTTAGTCTTTAAGTAGCTGACAGAAGTTTCTGTTAGGAAAGAATTGTCTGAAAGAGGAGTTCTTGTTGCAGTTTCCCAAAGTTTATTTAGGTGGTAGAAAGCTGAATCGTTATGTAAATCTAATTATCGTTCTTGTGAGCTATATCAACCTGGAAGTTAGTAAGTTGGTCCTGAGTGCAACTGTGTCATAAAGAAGCTTTCCGGATTGGGGATTTGTTCTTAAATTTGATTTTGCACTACCTTCTGTTACCCCAAGGATCAAGAGATAAAATGTTTCCAAGCCTATTGCTAATTTAACAGCAAATTTGAGCTTGCAGTTAGTGATATCATTCTGCTCTGTTCTCTTAATTAAAAACAAAACACACCACAATTTGGGTCAAAATGTTAATTTTGTTTTGCTATTATTACAATACTTTAAGCACTAAATAAGGGTAAAATATAGCTGACTGGAGGCCAGATCTTGTCTACGTTAGAAAAAGGATCCATTACTGTCAAAAGTTGTCTCCAGCAGAAATAATCAAGCTCATGTGCAGTAAAGCTGCATTAGTTTACATCAAGCCGTAGCACAGTTTTGAGCCTGGTCTTCTAAGAGATGTCTTAAAGACCTTTTTAGAATGTGACACTTCTATATGTGCACAGCAGTGTTTCTTAATAACTAGCGAGTTCTTGTTAGCTGTGAAACAAAATACTTATTATTGTTTAACTATAGAATCCAGAGCCCTGGTCTTGAATAAAGGCTGTACTGTACTGAAAAATGTACAAATAAAAAGCAAGAGAGAGTCTCTGGCCTTGGTGAATTTGCAGTCAAAGTGCAAGACAACAGGTAGTATGGGATGAAAGGAGGAGCTGGAGATGGCATCTCTTCGCGTGGCTGGCAGTGAAAATGTCATAGCAGCATGAAAAGCAACAGCAGAGTATAATCTTCTACTCTGCCCCAGCCACGTGGGTGCTCTCGGTAGTGGATATGCTAAAATTCTGTGCACTAGTAGATGTATCTTCTCTGTAAGAGTAATTGGTTCCAGTTAGTTGGCAAGAGTCTCTTTTGGAGCTGTACAGCAAATAGGTTTGCTTAAATTTTTCCCCACAGCTACTTCTACTCTGCTGTTAAGCACAATAGTAGACCTTAAGCTGTAACAGATGCAGTGTGGACAGTACCTGTTGAGGTTTTTATGCTTTATCACTTTATAAAATGTCAGCTTTGGTTTTGCTTTATGTTTGTTACTGTGTCGTTCAGCTTGGATTGAACACTGATCACTTGGACTAGCAGCTACAGAGGGGGGTTTTAGCTTCACTCTTAAGTAGTGGGTTATCCTCTCTCTGTGGTTACCTTAGGGTGCAGCAGAGAATTATTGTAGTACAGCTGGGTGGTGAATTTCCACAGGCTTTCTCACCACGTGTTCTCATTAATGTCAGTGCTTTGGGGTCCTGGATCACCGCCGAGTTCTCTTCCCAGCTCTGTCCCCGTCACCTTGTGCAAACACCTTCACTCTTGCAGCGTGCTTCTGTTTTCTCCTGTCACAAAGTTTGACTCTAGTTGAATTAACTTATCCACTCAAGTCAGAGAGGTCAAAACCACAAGTTGAGGGATATAGTCCCTGTGATGAATCCGTCCGGTATACTTTGGTCTCTGCCACAGGGGACCGCAGGTGGGGGTGGTCGAGGTGGAAGGACGAGCGTTGTGGTAGTTCCTGAAGCCCAGGAGCTACCCATGCAAAGTTGGAATAGTTTTTTTTCTAAATGAGCATGTTTTTTCCTGTTCAGTTCTTCTGTCTTTGGCTTGTCCCACTTGTTCATGTCTGTTTTGGTGAAACAAAGAAAAATTAGCACTGGGAGAAAGGGATTTAGAAACAGTCATTAGGCTTTCTAGGCACAGAACGGGTATAACCTGTTTGACTTTGCTCAGGCTTTGCCAAGTTTGCATCTTCCCCTTCTCCTGTTGCTGCTGAACTAGGGGTTGGCATGACTGTGTCCTTACGCATTAGATCTAATCAACAAGGTGGTTGTCACTCAGTCTTACAGCATTTGGCAAACAGCATTGATCCAACCATTTAAAACTGAAAAAAAAACCCCCAAAACCCAAAAACCAGTTGTACCACTGTCTTGTATAATTTGGGATTGCGTAGCCTCTTCTGTTGAATTTTAAACAAAAAAAGAAAGTGTTTTTATTTAGTAAATCTTTTGTCTTTCTAAACTTGGTATCTCACTGAGTCCAAAGAGCATCCAGTATTTCACACACCTGAAATCTTCACTTACAGCTGATAACCAAGAACATCCTCAGTGATCCTACTGAGCTGAAAGGAACAGTGTGAAAATCAGGTACCTTTAGGTTCTATGTTGAGTTTCCATGGGCTGTGTCCGGACAGTATCTAATACTGTTAGTTACAAATTACAGCTTGCATGTGTGAGCTAGAGCTTTGGCAAATACTAGCAGTAATAAGAATACAAAAAACTTGGGCCGTTTTACAGAAGTGAGAATAGCTCTACGTTTTGTACCAATACAGAAAGATTAAAACGACTTGATCAAGGTCACGCAGCAAGCTCATGGGAAAGCCAGGACTGAAAGCCAGTCATCTGTCATCCAAGCTTTCCTCTTTATTTGCTAGAGCTCACTGCCTCTTATGGATATCTAATCATCTAGGCTGCTGCAGTGGTGGTCTGATGAAAGATTTCAGTCTTTTAATGGGAAATGAAAGTTGGGTAATAATACTTATTTCCTATTTATGGTTTAATGTATAAACTAGAAAATGTAATACCAGTTTTTACACAGCCCCTTTTAAAACTGGCTGCATAAACACAGAAATAAATTAAGCTTTACGAGTCTCCTCTGGGAACCCAGTCAATATTATCCTGTTTTCAAAAAGGAGGAAGCAGAACAGCAAATACATTAACGTGATATATCCAAGGTTGTACAGCTGGCAGAACTGGGAATAGACTCCTGCCCTTACGACTCTTACTGGTCACTTCCATCAGAGTTGCTGAAGTTTTATTCAGGGGTGAAAACATCCAGAGCGGGTAAGAACATCCCTGCGTGGATCCGAGGGACAGGGTTGGAGGTGCACAGGACAAAGAAATTCCTTTTCCTCCCTCCGCCTCCTCCAGCTCGGAAAGGGTTACAGCTGAAATGCCTGTAACAGCCTCAGGAAAACATGAATCAGTGCTAGAGAGGGAAGGCAGAATGGGAACCCAGAATTGCAAGCTGTTTTGTGCTTTTCATTTATATATGCACCTTTGCAGGGGGGGTTAAAGCCAGTGTTTCAGGCGATCTCGGCACAGCTGACATCTGAGCCAGCCTGCGATAGAAAGCGGATCGCGTTCACGCACCGGGTCATTAAAGAGGAGGCTGGGTGCGTATGGGGAAGACTGGAGCCGGGGCGGGGGGGGGGGGGGAAAAAAATGTGTCTGTGTGTGTGCCTGTGTGTCTGTGCGTGTGTCTGTGTGTCTGTGCGTGTGTGTGTGTGCACGCAACATGGAGGGAGGGACTGGAGCTGCTGCTGCCGCCGCCGCCTTTACCAATATCTATACGGCAGCTTTCACTGCGGGAACGATAGGAACTGGAAGCGATCTTGATGAATCTGAAAGGTCAGTACTATCAATAAATCACCCACAGATAAACGCTCCTCGGAGATGCTTTCTCCCCCCCCCTTTTTTTTTTAAACCGTGTTTTCTCATAAATGGAGTGTTAAAATGATACCGTATCTCCGAGGAATGTAATTGTTTCACAATTGGTCATAGCCAGCAATGTCTAATAAAAATGTAGAGCATGATTTAAAAAGGCAAGTGTGTCACTTTCACTTAGCAAATGTAACTTCATTTTAATTTTTAGTGTGTTTTTAAGCATGTGTCTATGACTATCTTTTAAGTGGTTGAGTATTTGAATGGAGAAAGGTTAATTGTCTCCTTCAATCAGATTACACTATATAGGTTACGCTAGCATGTAGAAAGCAGACAAAGTATAATTTTGCATCCTGTTCTTCATGTGACAGTGGTCCTTGAGGCATTTTCGAGTAAAGTGTGTAGAGTGTGGTTATCACCATGACTGAAACTTGCATTTTTTTAATCAGAAATGTAATATATCCTGTCCGTAGCAGAGTAGAGCACATACTCTGTACTTTGGCTGTGTGAAAGCAGCAATAGTCACAAGGGTTCTGTGCTGAGCGTATTTTTTTTTCCTTTCTAATGGATAACTAAGTGCTGTTGAGATGGTATGGGTTTAGGAGCAATAGTTCTGGAGGGCCAGGTTATCGTGTAGTTAAAATTCTTGTGGAATGAGACAGGGCTGGTTATCTTCAAGGCAAATCGTCTCTTTCACCCTAGGCTTGGATTTATACTGCGGCTGATATGAAATAAGCCTATTGCTGTTGCAGTTCAATTGGGATTTTCTAGTTCAGGGCTGAGAGTGCATAAATATTTACTGGTGGAAAAAAGGAGGGAGCTGGGGGACCAGTATAATTTAAAACTTGCCGTCTTGGGTATGCTGTTACCACCTACCTGGTTTACAGATCAAGGCTGTTTCTACCAAACTAAAAGTTATTTATGAACATAGCTGCCAGAAGCTGAAGACTATGCGTTTTTATTTCACTGTATAATACATTATCAACAAAGTCTTGATAATTTATGCTAACTCCACCCACTTCAGCTTACACTACCAGAAACGGAAGGAGAGTAGCTCTTACTAGCACTGCAAAATCTCTCTGAAATTGTCTGTTTTCTTTCTTTCTTGAAGTATTTTGCCTTAGGAAAGCTGGTACTGAATATCTTGTCATTGTTTGTATTACCCAGTGATTCAGGTACTGTGAGAAAGCTAGTTAGGTAATTTTGGTTCCCATTACTTGCAAACAAAACTGTATTTAAAATTAAACGTGTATAGTGTACTAATGCTGGAGCCTTTGCACTGCCCAACGTCCTTTGTGACAGAAAAAGCACAATACACTATATATTAGCATCCATGTGTACAGCCGCACACATGCCATAGGGGATTTTGTAAATAGGAACACCACGGGATTTCTGTTTGGTGTGTATTCCCTTGGGAACGTGTGGCGCTCACTCCGAATGAAAACTGACATTTGTAAGTAGCTGGCAATGTCAGCGTGTGCAGTACCAGGTCTGTGGCTAAAGAAGGACAAAGTTTAGCAACAATTCGATATGGCCTATGCAGTTTTCTTCCAAATGGGTCCTGTATTTCAGGGAAGTCTGCAGATTAAATACTTTTTAGTTCTGGCAGTGACAGTCCCCTTTTCTTCGCCGCTTGTGCAGATAGTCCAGAGCATGACAGAACTTCGTATTACCTTATGATGGTCGACTGTCTGAAGGGGAGACCTCTTACTCATGTTCCCTCAGTGCCCTGCTTTTCAGTGTAGTGATAAAGATTTGTATTGTATCTTACAAGCAAGACTTGCATTTAATAGGATTATAGAAGTATTTTTAACTTCATACTCTCAGTCCGGTGCTCCTGACTGATACTTGGAATGTGGGGAGTTTCCTGATTATTCATGTAAATCTAGACAGAACAAACTGTGCTGATGCATATTTTCTTCGGGGGGTGGGGGATCATTTTCTGAGTGGTACATCTAAGGGTTGCAGAATCCTTCCCCTACCTGTGGCAGTAGCTTTTTGGCTGGAGGGGAAGAAGGACAGAAAACAGCGACTCTCTGAGCTTGTGAAAGAGCAGTCGTTCCAAGGGCCAGCGGGATCACAGCACAAACAGCAGAGCGGTGTGTGTTACTTCGGCTGGATAGCATCTTCTTCGAGGCCAGCCTTTGGTGATTTATGTTACGCATAACCGCTTCTGGGTGACTTGGCATGTCAGGATGTTCCCTTTGCTAGAGCTGCCCAGGGACTGCCAAACTGCCTTTACTCCTGACCTCTGTGCGCCCTCTAGCTCCCCTTACACAGCTTTCCCGTGCTCTAGCGGCGAGGAGTGCGCGCTCTCCAGACCCCCAAGGATGCTTTCCGTGGAAGAAATCCCTGCATTTTGCCTTGGGAAAGGAGGGGGCAACTTTATCGGAGCATTAGTGAGCACGTCCTTCGCAACCCCAGTTCTTTTGGCAACAACGAGCGTGTTGTATACCGTGTGACATATCTTCAGTATTTATACCAAGAGTTTATATCAAGAATACAAAAAAATCCTTTAATCCCCCTTTACCAAGCTTTTTGGTTTAATCTTTCTTTGAACTGTGTTTCTTCTTGTTGTTTGATACTCTCTGGAAACTTCAGGCCCTGGTATCAGGGACCAGGATGTAATGTTTCGATATTCTGCTCCCGACAGTGGTCAAGAAAGGAAAATAAATCCCCTCTTTCCCACCAATGGTCCTATGTCATAAAAAGGAATGTTCTTCCCAGCTTCCATTCAGTCATCAGCCTGGAGAAAGGACAAAAAAAAACAAACCCACCCCACCACAGAATAGGTGGTGGAAGGGAGGAATAAGGTGACTTTGAAGTGGCGGGTGTGACGGACAGGAAGCAGAAGAATTGGGACGGGATCGGAGCTTCCCAATCACGAGTATAACGACCAAAGCAGACGGCTGTTTAGCTGCTGAGTCAGAACAGGGTAGATTTCAATGTGTATTCACGTAAAAAGGAAAAAAGGCAGATGTACACCTTTTGTGTGTGCCTTTGAATTTACTGTATATTGGAAATAGTAACAGGATGCAGTGGTGTGAGGGCTGAGAACCAGAGTAGGCATCTCCTCAGTTGCATAGCATGTCAGTATACTGTTATTACTTAACTGTTTGTTGTTCTTACTTGTGTATTTGTTGAAGGAGCTTTCTGTGTACTGTTTCTGGACAAGAGCTTGCAAACGTGTTAGAAGTGTATATCCAGAAAGCAAATTAAAACATAAAGCTCAACACTTACGTACATTTCACACTCATGCCTGCAGCTTTGTTCTGGCCTAATGATAGGGACCAGAGCACTGATGGGTGGGGATGATGGGAGGAAAAGGAGGAGGAATTTGAACTTGGTACCTTTGCTTTGAAGCACCATTTATATTCTAGCTTCTCTTATGTGCTGTGTTCGTTCCTTCTGAAACTGTGAATGTGAAATTTGTGATACCAGCACCTTTGGAGACACTTCGGAGGTGATGTAATACCTGCTTTTCTGTCAGTTGCCTTTTCTTACGCAACCCATAATCTAATCCGGTTTTCTTCCTTCTGTGTGTAAAACAGCAGTAAAAGCGCAATACTTCCTAAAAGATCTGTTACAGTTTTCTTTCAAAGCTGATAGCAAGCAGCGTCTGGTCCGAGACGCTTTGTGGTGGCAAAGACCACCCTTAATTACAGGAGGTGGTGGTGGTAATTGGCAGCACAACGATCGGCAGAGCCAAGTGTGACCTCCGTTCAGCTTCCTGGGCCGGGAGCAGCGCGTATGTGTTGGTTCATCTGTGTTAGATTATCATCACGGCCTCCACTTTAATTTACAAAGGGCTGCCCGGCCTTGCATTCCCTTTCAGTAAGTCCCATGGCTGAATGAACTTCTGAAGCATCCAGAAGATGACAGTGCATTACTGCTTGTTGGGTTACATATTTACAATTACTCTAGCTTCGTTTTGAAGCTCCTCGGAGGTCTGAAATCTCTGGTTAATCAAACTTGGGGAAGGACTTTTAACCTGACACTTCTCATAATGTTAAAGACTAGAAAGCCCTTGTTGCATTAGCACGCCAAGAGTTTAACACAGCTCTTTGTTTTTTAATTCAGACAGTTCAAGCTGGGGGCAGTTTTAGCTGGGTGATCACAAGCATCCTATTGCTATTGCTGAAATAAGATGACGGCTTTGTTGGATGTTGAGCTGATACACACGTGGTGGTAATGGTTTGCTTTCTCCTGGCAAATGAATTTAATGCAGTGTGCAGTCCTGATGGGATTTAACCACTCTTAGAGGGGGCAGTTGTGTTGTTATGACTCTCCACTTGATCTGAGTCTCTGGGTGCAGCTTACTGTTGTAAACCAAATGTGACACACTAATGAACTCCAGCAATGTGTTTTCTTCTTTTCATTACGTATTACACAGCAATTTTCCTATTCGCAGCGCTATTCAATAGTCAAGGATTTCTCAACATTTTTTCCCCAGGGTTTAGAAATTAGCGTTCCAAACCTTGTTCAGGATTGGAATGTAGCAGATGAGATTTCAGCCCTTAAGGAGTGTTTTAGCCATGCAAACATGCTTTAATTTCTGGCCCCATTTCTTCATTTGTGTATTTCAGAAGGTTTTGTCCCTTTTAAAAGTGAAACGTAACAAGATATTACACAAACTTTTTTCTGAAACATAAACACAAGATTTCCAAGCCTTTTCAATCTGTTGTTCTCTGTATGTTTTCTTTTACTGATACTTTAATGGAATAGCTTTACTTACTGTAATAGATAAATATAATTTGTAAATATACATTGTATCTCTTTGCAGCTTGTTCCGTGTCACTGTGCTGAATTTTTAGGAGTGCAAGTGTGCTGGACCAATGCATGTCATGCTTTTTAAAAAATTATTTACATAAAATATCCAACTATTTTAAGTGCATATGCCTACAGCAACCATGTGAAAATCTATTTGTTTTTTAAATAAAGATGTGCTGGGAGAAAAACTTTGCGAA